ATCTTGGTGCCGAGTTCGAGAAGCTTCGCCATGGCCAAAGCTTACGTTCTTGGGAACCCTAGTTTAGGGTTAGAGGAGGATGACCGAACGGACGAAGACTAATGATCGACGAAGCTCACCTCAGGCCCGTTTGGACTGGGGGTGATAACGGGAGGTTGGGGGCATATTTAACCTTGTCTGTTTAATTCAATTGAGGCGCATGATGCATGCGGTTGAAAACTTTTAACATGAAAACAATTTTCCTTTGATCAATTCCTTTGTTTTCATCATTATTAGTTTCGTTTTGATGAGAGGTTTGTGTTTAGATAACCCCCGAATTTATTGGGTGTTTATTTTTAAATATTATTTACCGGGTGCTAAAAATATGTATATGGGTTGAAACAAGCTCAAGAGCTTGATATGGTTGTCTCTCTCATTTGTAACGATGAGTTGGTTTTTTACTTTTAAAGATGATTTTTTTTCCATAGTTCATGATTCTTGTATGTTTTGTAATCTTATTTTTGAACTATGAAAATTTTGTTTTGATTTGTTCTTTTGAATTCATTATGTAGCACAAATAGATGATTCAAATTTCAATTGTGCCTTATAATGCATTCTATATATGGTTTGATCAAGTTCTACAAAGAAAGCTTTCTTTATTGATCAAACATTGTTCTTGGACTTAAATCTTGATTTATGATTTTATTTGAGCGATTTATTTTCACCTGAAAACTCTTTTTCATGATCCTCATGTTTACCGTTCTTTTGATTTCATAAATCTATTTTTATACATGATCTTTATGTTTATGCTTTGAGACACACCATTTCAATAATACATCCACATGTGTTCTCTTTATCTTGATATATGTGAGTAATTTTTAGCATGTTTTTATCTATGCTAACTCACATGTGTGCCTTAGCCTTCATTTCATACATTCATGAGGCATTTTGATAGGAGAGCAATCCCTATACTTGTTTTATACTTAGGGAAAGCTTTCGCTCTCTTCATTCTTGTTGGTTTCTCCTTTTTGATATTGTAAAAGGGGAAAAATATTGTGAGTATATCTTGTTTTGGTTATATACATGATAATTCTAATTTACATACTAATCTCCTTTCATGCATATATCTCTTTTTGCAAATTGTTTGTCATTATCAAAAAGGGGAAGATTGTTGGGTCATTTTGTTTTGATGATGATTAACAAACAATTTATATCTAATGTTGTTTGTCTAGTGTTTGTGTTTTATATTTATTCTAGGCAAACAACATGTTGGAGGAAGGATGGAATCGAGCATAACGATCATATCCAATGGAGGTTGGCGGAATTGTGGTATGAAGCCTTGCAATTCAAGTTAAAGATCCAAGTTCCCGCTTCATCCGCAAGTTTACCAAGAAGAGCTTATTGAAGATCAAGATCATTGCTTGGGTAAATAATTTATGTTTTATATTATATGTGTTGGTACTTTAAGCTCAATCATATACACACATACACGTTTTTGGTTTTGTATACATAGTTATATATACATGTTTTGGTTTTATAAGGTTTCAAGTTTAAATAAGAAACAAATGAATATAATTTGGTTTTGTATATATATAGTTATATATACATGTTTTGGTTTTATAAGGTTTCAAGTTTAAATATGAAACAAATGAATATAATTGGAAAATACATACTTGTTTCATGTTTATATACATATATATGATTTCATCAATATCAAGTTTATATAGTTCAATGAAATCATGTTTATTGTTTTGAAAGTTTGCAAAACATGCATTTTTGTGAAAATGTTGAGTTATTTGTTTATAGGCTTAACAATCATTATATACATATTTCATTAAGTCTATATAATCATTTTATAAAGTTTTAAAACATGGTTTAGTCAAAATGACAAAACAAGTGTTGTTCATTTTTATGTTTTGAACTATTTTGTAAAATGAAGAGATTTCTCATTTGGGAGATGCTTTTTGAAAACCAGTTTTTGTAGCATGTTTATTATCATGACTACAATCATTTCTCATAATTTTACATTTTTCTGATTTTATTTGCTATTTTTAAAAGGAGTTTGAAAATCAGATTTCTGTTTCAAAACATGTTGATAACCTATTATCAGTCGACTGATGATATCAGTCGATTGATATGTTGACTGAAGTAAACGCCTGGAATAACAAAATTTTCTGTTTTATTTTGATCGACTTATCAGTCGACTGATGAGGTCATCAGTCGACTGATAATGTCGTCAGTCGACTGATGGCTGAAAAACATCTCTAACGGTTAGCTCATCAGTCGACTGATGAAAGCCGTTAGTCGACTGATGCTGTAACGACTAGTTTTTTCCAACATGTTCCGGTTTTTGGTTTTTGGTCTTTTTGCCTTGTTTTCTCTTGGCTTTGGGCTTCCTATAAATACCCCCACATATCCTCAGTTTTATTAACTCAAGAGAAATATTTTAAACAAGTTTAAGAGCGTTTTAACAAGGGGTTGAATTTTGGTTTAAGTTTGTTTAAAAAACTTTTAAGCATTTGAGAGTTTGTTTTGTGAAGACAATTTCACAAGAGCTTGAGGAAGATCATCCATTGGTGTTTGAGCATTCAACTCTTCTCCCTCTCTCTCTCTTGATCTATAAAGAAGTTTCCTTAAACTCAATTCTAGCTATTTATTGTTTTGATTCTAATTTCCATAAGCTAGATTTCAATATTGAATTTAATTGTTTCATTGATACTCTTTGTTCACACACAACCTATTGAGTTTATTGTATTTGCATTCATAGTATAATTTAGGATTGTGGGTTTGTGACATTAAGAGTGAGCTTAATTGTGTTCTCATCTATTGTAGAGAACAAATTTATATTTGTGAGCCTAATTGTGAGTTTGTGTTCTCATCTATTGTAGAGAACAAATTTATATTTGTGAGCCTAATTGTGAGTTGCACATTGTATTACACTTGGACACCGAGAGAAGTAAATTTATATTTGTGAGCCTAATTGTGAGTTGCACATTGTATTACACTTGGACACCGAGAGAAGTGGTTTGTGAGAGACGGGGTCGGTTCCAAGAGGAGTGGAGTCGGTAGTAAAGCCTAGTGAGAGGTGATAATTCCGAACACTTGAGGAAAGGTGACACGAGCTAGGCCAACACTTAAAGAGTGTAGAGTGTGACTGCAAGTGTGTAGTTGTAAAGTTTTCAGTGAACTAGAAAACCATATTGTGAGGTATAAACGTTGTTCGGGTGAGCGTAGAAAATCCGGTTATGATAGTGGAGATCTCCTCGAGGTGAGGAGCGGAGACTTAGGTCGTGAGGACCGAACTCCGTGATCATATTATTTGTTTGTGATTGCATTGACGCATTTATTTTTGTGTTCATATCTTATATCGCCTTTGTCTATTACTTATTGTTTATATTCCCACTATCTTGTTTGTGTTTATATTGCCCTTAGTTTATTATTCTTGCACATATATTGTTCATATCTCTTGTGCTAGGATATATTTGTTAGTAAAATTTTAAATTGTCATAAATCGGATAACTGATTAGTGGTATTTGATTAGGGTCTAACAATAAATTCTGCGGATAACTGATAGGCCGAAGTGAGGTAAAATTACAAATCATACAAGCGACTTCGCGAAAAAAAAGGGAAAAATGTGTCCAGGCCCCAAAAACATAAACTTCATGTGCTGCAGCCCCTTCTAGTTTCCCTCATGTGGTTCAGCCCCTTGAAGTGTGACGTTTTGTGCTGCAGCCCCTTTTTAACAATTATTACATGCCAACTAAGCTAAAATCCCCAAAATAACCTTACCCCCTCTCCTCAATCCTTCAAACTCTCTCTCTCTCTCTCTCTCTCCTCCCCCCTCTCTCTCCCCTCTCTCTCTTTAAAAACAAGGGTTTTATCAAGCTCGTCGCTCTGGCCCTCGCCCTCCTCGCCGTCGCCACCTCCGCCCAGGCTCCCAAGCCTCCCCCGAGTTCGTCGCCGCCTCCCCTCCTCTCCTCCGCCCGACCTCGTCGCGGTAGCTCGCCGTCGCTCCCCATCTCGCCCTCGACTACGCCGGAGTTCGTCGCTGTGCCTGCCACTTTTGAACCCATAGTATGGTAGGCCGGAGGAGGATGACCAAGAGAAAAGAGTGCATGATGCTCAAGAAAAGTAAAAATGAAGGGGACAGAATAGAACTAACATTGTGCAGATTAGAACTAACACTGTAGACAGAATAGAACTAACATTGTAGACAGAATAGAACTAACATTGTAGACAGAATAGAACTAACATTGTAGACAGAATAGAACTAACATTGTAGACAGAATAGAACTAACATTGTAGATAGAATAGAACTGTAGACAGAATAGAACTAACATTATAGACAGAATAGAACTAACATTGTAGACAGAATAGAACTGTAGACAGAACAGAACTAACATTATAGACAGAATAGCATATTCTTGTACTTTAACTTGGAACTAGATGCAACTTATGACTCTGTCTAGTTTCTGGTATTGGTTTATGATTCAACAAATGAGCATGCTCATATTCTTTACAGAAATTTACACCCTGTCATTAGATTGAAATAGAGCATTCTGGCTGTTTCGTCATTGGTTGACAATAACAGTATCAGTTTCTTAATGTGTTCCTCTGCCTGTTTAAGCTCTCGAGCTGGACTTCTGGATTACTATAGACATGTAGTTCGTTTGCATACAAGTTTTAGTGGTTTGAAATTGACTACGTGGTTACAGTTTTCTATTTTGGAAATGGGAACGTATCGTAAATCATGCAGCATTTTGCTCCTTGGCAACATTTTGGCTGACTACTATTCTCAATTCTGTAAACAGGAACCATGCTTTGAAAATAGGCAAAAGCAGCAGGAAGACTCTACACAATTGTCACGAGTGTGAAGAATCTGCGAGACATGCCGGAATGCCTCAATCTTTACTTCGAATCCCTTCAACCAAGTTCATGCCGCTTATTGAGTTTGTAATTTCTGGTGTTACCAACCACA